GAGTTATAGCCCCGAACCCCTATTTACTGCTTCACCCATATCTATTTTCTGCTATTGTGACTTGCCTGGAGGTTTCATTTTGGTTTTGGAGTGTTTTAGGACACTTAGTCCCTAAATGGAGGCTTAAGTCTTAGAATTTGGACCATTGTCAGAACTACGTGAAGATGACTCCAGAATGGAGTTCTGTCGATTTCGTTAGCTCCGTTGGGTGATTTTGGACTTAGGGGCGTGTCCAAATTGCGTTTTGGAGGTCCGTAGCTGATTTAAGCTTGAAATGGTGAAAGTCGTATTTTTGGAGATTTTGGCCGGTAGTGGTCTTTTTTATATTGGAGTTGGAATCTGATTCCAAAAGTTAGAGTAGGTTCCTAATGTTGAATATGAATTGTATGCAAAATTTGAGGTCAATCGGATGTGGTTTGATAGGTTTGACATCGGTTGTAGAAATTTTAAGTTTCAGGTTCTTTAAGTTTGAATTGGAGGGTGATTCGTGATTTTAGCGTTGTTTGATGCGATTTGAGGGCTCGATTAAGTTCGTATGGTATTTTAGGACTTGTTGGTATGTTTGGTTGAGATTCTCGGGGCCTCGAGTTGATTTTGGGTGGTTAACGGATCATTTTTGGACTTAAGAAAGTTGCAGATTTCTGGTGTTCTTTAGTTGTTGGTTTCCTTCTTCGCGTTCGCGAGGGGTGTTCCACATTCGCGAGAGGATCTGGGGCAGGTGGAAATTTTATGCTTCTTGTTCGCGATGTTGGTCCCGCGTTCACGAAGCTCTGAGGTCATATGTCTATGCGTTTGCGAGCGTTCACGTAGAAGAGGTTGGTTCACTGAGTCCGGCCTTTTGACTACGCGTTCGCAAGGTTGGTTCCGCGTTCACGTAGGGTTGAGCTGAGTGGTCTTCGCGTTCGGGATGAAGGATTTCTAGGCCAAAGCGAGTTTGTGCTTCGCGAACGCGAGGGTCTTTTCGCGTTCGTGAAGAAGGGAGCACCTGGGCAGATTTAAAAGTTCAAAATCGAGGGTTTATGTCATTTTTCACCATTTGGACTTGAGAGCTCGGAATTTGGCAATTTTTGGTGATATTTTTACGTGGGTGTTTGGGGTAAGTGATTCTTACCTAGTTTTGGTTAATTCCCATGATTATGTCTTTAATTTCATCATTAAATTAGTTATTTGGGGTGGAAATTTGGGAAAATTTTGAGAAAAGTTCTTAGGCCGAATTTTGGGGTTTCGATCGAGATTTTAGTATCGGATTTGAGTAATGTTTGTACGAGTGAACTCGTGAGTAAATGGGTATCTATATTTTGTGATTTTTACCCGATTCCGAGATGAGGGCCCGGGGAGGCTTTTTAGGGCGATTTTCCAATTTTTTCTTTAGCTTTGATTTCGTTAGCTAGATTAGTTTCTTGTAGTTGTATTTATGATATGTAATTGATTTTGGCTAGATTTGAGCCATTCGGAGTCGGATATTCGTGGAAAAAGTATTGTATGGATTGATTGAGCTTGGTTCGAGGTAAGTGGCTTGCCTAACCTTGTGTGGGGGAACTCCCATTAGGATTTGGTACTGATTTTGATATGTGAGCGTCCTGTACGTGAGGTGACGAGTACGTACACGATCTAATTATTGCAGAAACCCAATTTCTACTAAGTAATAACATGTTTTTCTTCTTATTTGAGTTATATCAGCATGTGCAGTATCATGTTAGCTTAGAATAGCATGCTTACTTGCCTTAATTGCTTATCTGAACTCCGTGCAGCATATTTAGTGAATTTCTGCTTTTTCCTTGACTTGAATTTAGTCTAAACTGTAGGTTTTCTTGGTGTAACTGTTACTTCCATTGTGTGAGCGGCGTATTTACTTTGGGACTACGGAATGGAATTCTGGGAGGTCCCCCTGTACTGCATATTTACTTTGGAATTACGGAACGGTATTCCGGGAGATCCCCTTGTACTGCATATTTACTTTGGGATTACGAAGCGATATTTCGGGAGATCCCCCTTACTGCATATTTATTTTGGGACTATGGAACGGCATTCCGGGAGATCCCCTACACATTTACGTTTGGGACTACGAGACGGTATTTCGGGAGATCCCCTGTTGTTATCTCTGTGTACTGAGTTGTTACCTTTCTATGATTTCATTCTTGTTAAACTTCAACCTTTATTTAACTGCGATATTTCATCCTGTCTTGTTTTTATTATATATATATACCAGTAGGGTCCTGACCTGACCTCGTCCCTACTCGATCGAGGTTAGGCTTGGCACTTACTGGGTACCGTTGTGGTGTACTCATGCCCTTTCCTGCACATGTTTTTCGTGTGCAGATCCAGATATCTCCTACTAGCCTCATTTTTAGTTGCACTGTTGCTGCCATTCCGGAGACTTCAAGGTACATCTGTTGCGTCCGTAGATCTCGGAGTCTCCTTCTATCCTTTCTGATGTTGCTTCCCTTTTATTTATTCTAGTACAGATGTATGAACAATTGTCAAAGATCTTAGAGGCTTGTGACTTACAGTGTACCGGATCTTGGGAGAGTTATGTGCATTTCGAGAGTGATTATTGTATATGCCGAGCGACATCTCAAATACTTACTTAATTTATCTGTTACTGTTAATTAACTTTTAAGTTTTTCATTTCATTTTCCGCAAATGTTAGGCTTACCTAGTCGTAGAGACTAGGTGTCGTCACGACAATTCACGGAGAGAGAATTTGGATCGTGACATTCACTTAAAAAATAGATAAAATTTATAACAAGAGGAACTTGTTAGCGTATATAAATTAAATCCATATAATAAGAAAATTATAACGCCGTTGTTAGTCAATCTTTACCTAACTTTGTTCTGAGATTTCTGTCACTTATCCATTTACAATAGCGTCTTAATATTCAAAGAGATACAAGTTGGATTGAAGATGAACTTGATTAATAATATAATTAACTAGTTTGAGACCTTGTTGTTGACTAAACATGAAAGAACGTGCATTTTCATCTCTCCATCAACTTTACATAAATATAGACTAAAATTTATTATAAAAACTGGTCGCAAGTTTTCGCAAAGATTGATGTACGCAACTTTCAGAATTGACACTTTGGGAGGAAGAAGAAAATACACCCCATTCAGAGTATTTGTTTTTTCCAGCTGTACTAATTAGCAACCAAAGTACATTCAAATATTCAATACCTTTACTTTGTTTAATTAAGGGAATCAAATAAATGAGCTCCTTTCTAATTTTTTCACTCATTTTTCCCTCATTTTTCCCTTAACGGAACCAAAAAAAAAGTATGACGTATAAAAGAATACCACTTTGCAGTGGTAAAAGACAATGATATAGTAGTGACGGCTTGAAGTTGGAAAAGAAGAGAGAAATAGTGAATTACCTTATAAAGAATCATACAGTCAATGTGCAGTGCATATATAAAAAATTTAGCACCCACCAACAAAGCGACTTTATTAAAGTACCAAAGACCACGCAGGAAACTATAGATTTCGTGAATTTAGCAATATATATTGATTTAAAGTTTTTTTTTTTGGAATCATCATTAATAGGTGTTAGGAAAATATTAGGTTAAGTTGGAAAAAAAAGTATTTGAAATTGAAGCTGAAAAAAAATACTTAGAGCCCGTTTGGCTTAGCTGATTTAGAGTAGCTGATAAGCATTAGGTGCTGAAAAGTACTTTTAAGTGCTGAAGTTGATTTAAAAAATAAGGAGTTACGAGTTTGGATAAAAGTGCTGAAATTAATAATAAGCAGCTGAAGAACTGGTATACGAAGAGTTCTGTTTTAAAAAGAAGTAATTTAGGGATAGAATATTTTGGTCAAACCTAAAGTGCTTATAAGCTGAAAATTGATAAGTTGGGGGAGACCAACTTATGACTTTTGGCTTATTTTTGGCTTATAAGCACTTAACTTATAAGCACTTTTAATTTTACCAAACGCGTAAATAAGCCAAAAAGTGTTTATAAGCCAGTTTGACCAGTTTATAAGCTTAACCAGACACCCTCTTAGCTTGAAAGTTAAAGTCGTGCTTGGATTTTACTTCTTTTTTTTTTTTAAATGAAGGTTGTGAATGAAAAATCATTAAATCGTTTGAAATACTCCTCAAACAAGTTTTTTAAGAGTTCACTAGCATTTTAAATATTGAAGTTCAGTATTTACAAATCCGAATGGGCAAACAAATACTGCTTCAATGGTCTTTTTGCTATGTGAGCACTCTCGTTGTAGGTTTTTAGCAGCCTCTAACCTGCATTTAAAAAATTAGCAAGATTATTAATTTATTACTTATGTGCATTGGATAAAGATAAGGAGAGCTTTATTAATTTCCATTAATTCTACTCTTTCGACATTATCGCTGAATGGTCGGTTGATGTTATACAAGGCTGCACGTCTTGATTCTTTGCCTCACTGGATAAATAAAATAATACGTACTTGTAAATCTGATATACTTGTTAATTATGAGCAATATTTTCCCCTGTTTATTTGAATTTCCTGTTACAATATAATTTTGTTAACCATTATCTATCTAGATGTTGAAATATTGAATACTAATATTGAAGGCTTTGAAGCTTCATAAGCTGCTTCCTGTTTGAGATTGCATCGGGACTTGCTGCTATATTGTAGTACTAAAAATAAGTCTAAACTAATTACATTTTGACACGGCAGACACAATATTTGAAAAAATCACTAATTTCTTCTAAACCGACCAGCTATATCCATTTCGGTACTATGCTGTGCAGTGATTATTCATAAAACAAATAAAAGTTCTTACCATTCTTGTAAAATAAATAAAAAAGTCTTACAACACCTCAGACGAACGTGAATTTTGTATTAGTGCCTTCAAATTCCGAATTAAATAAACAAATAAATAAATACGAAGAAAATCACAGGCTGCTGGAAGTTAAGATATGCAAGCATCTTCCTGACATGTGGAGTATTTCTTTTTGGTTAGTAGTATTTGTTGTCTTCTTCACCACAAGGTTATAGAGAATAGTCTTTGCTCCATATTCTATATAAATACTAACCCTAGATGTTCATGAACTACATCTCAAACCAAGCAAAAATTATAGTAATGGCTTCTCTTCCACTCCCCACCACCAATGCCATCTCTTCTTCATCTTCTTCTTCAACTACCACAACTCTTTCCAATTTGCATTCTTCTCCTTTCTTTACAAAGACATCAAAAGTTTCCACTTTAAGAAAGTGCGGTAACCATCGTTTCCAAGTCTCATGCAAGGGTACAGAAGATGACCAGACCATTAACACTTCCAAAAATTCTGATTCTTCAAACAATAAGATCATTGATAGAAGAAACATGCTACTCGGATTAGGAGGTATTTATGGTGCTGCTACTATTGTTGGTGGTCATCCCTTTGCCTTCGCGGCTCCTGTGCCCGGACCTGACGTTTCCAAATGTGGCGCTGCAGATTTGCCACCAGGTACTGTTATATATATATATATATATATATATATATATATATATATATATATATATATATATATATATATATGAAGTGAGCTTCTCTTACGTTGAAACACAAAAATGGTCAGCTTGAAATCTCTATATATAAAAAAATCCTGATACATTAAATTGATAAGTAAAATCCGGGCCTCCTGTGAGAAATGGTTAGGTTAATTTGTAGGAGTATAATATATTGTACCTTTATTGTATTCTGATAAAACTTGTCTATATTTTTCCAAATAATATGGAGTTGTTTTTACGCTTCAAAGCCTTTTTTCTCAAATTTGTCTATGTTCTTTTTTTTTCTTACAGGTGCAGCAACAGTCAACTGTTGTCCTCCAACAACGGCGAATATCATTGACTTCCAACTTCCACCACCGTCAACCACCCTCCGTACTCGGCCTGCAGCTCACGCCGCCGATAGTGCCTATATAGAGAAATTCAACAGAGCTATTCAGCTCATGAAACAACTTCCAGACGACGATCCACGTAGCTTCAAGAACCAAGCAAATGTTCATTGTGCTTACTGTGATGGTGCTTACGACCAACTAGGGTTCCCAAACTCTGAACTCCAAGTTCATTTCTCTTGGCTTTTCCACCCTTTCCATCGTTGTTACCTTTACTTTTTTGAAAAAATCTTGGGAAGTTTAATTAATGACCCTAACTTCGCTATCCCATTTTGGAACTGGGATCATCCTGATGGAATGAGACTTCCTGCCATGTACGCGAACCGTAGTTCTTCTCTCTACGATCCTCTCCGTGATCGGAGGCATCAGCCTCCGGTCATGGTCGATCTCGACTTCAATGGAACGGATCCTAACATAAGTAACGCTCAACAAACTTCCCAAAATCTCACTACCATGTATAGGCAAATGGTTTCTCTTGGAAGTACTCCGGCGACTTTTCTCGGAGACCCTTACCGGGCCGGTGGTGAGCCCGGTGGAGGTGGGTCCCTCGAGAACATTCCTCATGGACCGGTCCATGTTTGGACCGGTGATAGAACCCAACCTAATTTTGAAAACATGGGAGATTTTTATTCAGCTGCTAGAGACCCTATTTTCTATGCTCATCATTCTAATATTGATAGATTGTGGAGTGTTTGGAAAACCCTAGGAGGTAGACGTCAAGATTTTACTGACCCTGATTTTCTAAATGCTTCATTTTTATTTTATGACGAAAAAGCACAAATGGTACGTATTAGGGTACGTGACTGTTTGGATACAACAAGACTTGGATATGTTTATCAAGGTGTAGCTAATCCGTGGATAAATTCTCGTCCAAGGGCTAGGGTTTCAAGTGCTTTGAGTGGTGTAAGGAGACTTGTTGAAGCAAGAGCAGCTGATAATTTTCCAAGTGCAAAAGATGTTTTCCCAACAAAACTTGACCATGTGATAAGAGTTATGGTGAAAAGGCCAAATAAGAAGAAGAGAAACAAGAAGGAGAAAGATGCAAAAGAGGAGATTTTAGTGGTTGAAGGGATAGAGCTGGAAACTGATGTTTTTGTCAAGTTTGATGTGTTGATTAATGATGAAGATGAGACTGTAATTTCGCCGAATAATGCTGAGTTTGCAGGTAGTTTTGTGAACGTGCCACATCATAGTCATGGTAAGAGTGACAAGAAACGTAAAACTAAGTTGAAGTTGGCTATAACTGAGCTGTTGGAAGATTTGGATGCTGAGGATGATGATCATGTGGTGGTGACTTTTGTTCCAAAGAATGGTTCTGGTGCTGTAAAAATTGGAGGTGTCAAGATCATGCTTGAGGATTGATTGGTACCCTAGTGCACTAATTAAGCTCCCGCTATACGCGGGGTCTATTATACACAATCTTACGCTGTATTTCTGCATTCCCGCTATGTTTGAGGATTGATTATGACTAGAAAAATAAAAAGGTTTTAATTAATTTCCTCAACGAATTTCCTCAACGAATTAAGCATTTTAAGTTTCTTCATATTGTAAGTGTGTTTGAATGGAATAAAGGAAGAACCACTTACATGGATATTTTATAATTTTCTTCTACATATATTATACAACTACAACTAGTAGTTTTTCAAACTAAGTAGGGCAATTTCCAATTTTACGTTATTTCCTACTGTAAGGTCGTCGATTGGTGGCCATGTTAGTCCAACACGCACCTCCAGGAAAAGGAAAAGAAATAAACTCATTCAATGTTTATTATGTCTTCTTGAAGACACAAATCACGCAATCTTAAGAATAGGTCAGATCGTATATTTATTTTAAGGGCTAGCTCTTGCAAATTGTATATACATATAATATCTTTGTCGAAGAGGTTATAATAAATGGATTTTGCAATAGCCAGATCATTCAGGATATGCTTTATTAACCTTAACTTTTTGACTTCCCATTAGCTTTTTCATGGTCCATGTATATATTATTCCTTTTATTAAATCTATGTGATCCTAAAGGGGAAAAAAGGAAGAAATTCTATAATGCAAGTAGTACTTAAGCAACATTTTTTTTTTATCATCTTTTATATTTAGTGGAATATTTTGAAATTAAGCACAGCTGATATATTTAATGGAATAACTGGATGTTTATATATATATTATATGGATCGGAATTGTTATATTTTTATTTATAGTTGGTGGGAGCTGGCCGGGAAGTTTGGTTTAGTGTGAATGTAGCTGATTTTCTCATAGTTATAAATAGGAGCAATAATCAACATAAACGAAAAATTTATTAGAATATTACACTAATTTATTTTTTTGTTCAATCATGTAAATGATAAAGTGTTCGATTGATGAAAATGAATTGCAGAGGCAAAATGGAAAGGGAAAACGCAGGAGGGAGGGAGAGAGATTTTTATTCCATCTGGACCCAGAGTGACATCTAATGAATCTACATGTCTATCTGGATCCTTCGATCCTTATATACGCCTAAAACAAATTATAAATGTGGACAGAAATACAAGTACACTGGCTAATAATGTAAAAACTGATTACAATGATAATATAGACTACTACAGCTATTAAGCCTTCTTACTTGAACTGCTGAACTGAAATTGGGCCACTATTAACATGAAGAGATGAACAATCAATAAGAAATAAGTTTCATATAGATCATTTTAGGGAATCTTACGTAAATGTCCCAAATAAGTTCCAACTTACCAACTTCTAGCTAATTATAGACTTATCAAAACTAGTCAAGTGCATATAAAAATTGAAAACTCAAACAAAAAAGTTCTTTCTCTCCAAAAAGCACACGCAAAGATCTCCTTTCACATTTTTAAGCGTGATCAACAACATTAGATGCAAGACGGAAAAAGAATTTCATGGATGAGATTATGGCTGTCCAACGGAACGGGACGAGACGGGATAGGACCAAAATAAACGGGACGAGACGGGACGACATTTAGCCACGGTGGCGGGACGGGATAAACGGGTCGAAACGGTAGGCCCATACCATCCCACTAACAAACGGGATGGGACAGGACGAGACGGGATGGTTCACGGGCCTTATGTGGGCCTTTTTTTTTAAAAATTAATTATTTAAGCATTAAATTTGGCAACGGCTAGTTTTTTGACAATGACCAAGTTTTTAAAGTTTGCAACGGCTAATTTTTTGACTTATTTAATGAACTTAAAACTTAATAAATGATAATGAAACTAAGTAAAGAATTATAAAATATTAAAATAAAAGATTTGTAATGAAATATTTTAATAATTATAATAGAGTTATAATTTATTTAATATAATTTCAAGCCATTAAGTAACTGTGTAAGAGTGTAAGACAATTCATAAATAAAAAAAATCAAGGCTTAGAGCTAGCCTTTTATTTTATTAATAGAACTTTCAAATTTCACATACAAATATAATTCTTTTGAAGAGCACCTAATCTACTCAGCCACCTTCTAGGAAGGGTTCTGTTTGAACTAGGCCTCTTAGTAGCCAATTACAAATTATCATACTAATATTTGTAAGCTCTTATATAGCTTCCTTCTAACTTATCTATAATTTCTCTCGGTCATTGTTCTGGAATTGGCAATGTTGGTTGATGTTCCATGAGTTCCATGTCGTCATCGCTCCCTGTGCTAAGTATCTCATTGTATTCTTCTTCCCTAGTCGTTAATTTTTCAAAACCAAGATTTCTTCTTTCTGAATTAATTCAATCTCTGAATAGTACGAAAATCTCTAGGTTGTCCTCCGCTAATGAATGTCTATGATCTCCGATTTAAAATCTTGCCACGCTAAAAGCACTCTCCGATGCTACTGATGATTCTCGAATAGCTAGGATATCTCGGGCCATTATTGAAAGTATTGGAAAAGCCTTGCCGTGCTCCTTCCACCATGCCAAAAGTTGTTTGTTGCCTTCTTCGGCTTTAATACTTTCCAATCCTTGATTAAGATAAGAATCAAGTTCATCATCAATAGAGGAATCAAAACTTGTTATATCATCCATACCTTCACATAGAACTTCTACTCTAGCCTTAGAAATAAAAGGAGCAGTTTCACCACCTGTTGTTTCCATAGATTTATATTTATCAAACAGTGATCTAGCATAAGAATATATGTTAGCTTGGCAGCCTTCGAGAGATGGTTGTTCATTTTCTTGAATTGCTAAATTCTCATAAATTTTACAAACATATCCCTTTGCACCTCTTAATTTTAAAGATGGGTTAAGTAGAGTAGAAATTAAATAAACTTGGGGAATAGGAAAAAAATACTTTTTAAATTTTGCAACATGAGTCTTTTCATCTATATGTTTTCTAATTTTAGGAGAAGGNAACGGACCGTCGTTTGACGTAGTTTCAGACTTAAAATGGAAAATTAGGTGTTTATGAAAATTTGGAAGAAATCATGAGTTTTGAGGCTTGATTCGATGTATATGTTTAAATATGTAATTAAATTAAAAAAGTTAATGCAAAAATTAAACACACAAATGAAATACGAAAATAGAACACATAAAGTAAACTCAAAAATTAAGCACTAAAATGATACGCAAAATTATATATTAAAATTAGGAGATGGAACAAGTCACCGTGATTAAATATTGAAACATGAAGAAATTGCCCAAAAAATTGCTCCAAATACTTGACAAATTAATTTGAAGCTTGAAAGTTGCTCCAAAAATTTGTCCAAATACTTGGAAACTTAGTTGATTGTGAGAAAATTGAGAGAATGATTGATTTTTATGAAAAAAATGAAGAAGAATGGGGGTATTTAGAGATAAAAAAAGGGCCAAAGTGTAATTTAATAAATTTAAGGGTTAAATTAAAAGTTTGGGAGAGGGGGGAGGGGGAGGGGGTGTCTAGGCGGTGGGGGCAAATATGGCCGTTTATAGCCATTGGGAACGACTAAATTTGCAAACAAGGCCGTTTCCCAATGGCTCTATTTAAAAAAAAATCAAATAACACATGGGACGGACGGAACGGGATAAACGGGACGAAATGGGCAGCCCGTCCCATCCCGTGTACAGTTTAATATGGGCCCATACCGTTTAGAATTAAGTGGACCGGGACGGGACGGGATGAGGATCGGGACGGGCCAGCCCGTCCCGTTTGACAGCCATAGATGAGATAATAAATAAGGTGATGAGTATTTGCACTTCGCTCGCCAGTTCGTGGGCATAACTAGCCCCGTATAATGTATTATGACTTATGTAAATCGTCGGTTTTGGTTTTCAGGTTGATCGGAATAGATATGGAAGGATGATTCTCAGCTTGAAGCTTTAAATTTGAAAGGTTTGACTCAGTCTTGACTTTTTAGTATTCAATCTCGGATTTGGATTTTTATGATTTGGTTAGATCTGTCGGGTAATTTTGGACTGAGGAGTGTGTTCGGAATGTATTTTTGAGGTCCGTGGTAGATTTAGGGCTTGAAATTGGAGAGTTAAATTGGGGATTTGAGGGGCCACTTGAGGTCCGACTTTGATGATCTTGGTATGTATAGACTCGTGAGAGTGTGAGGATTCTAGTTTTGTGATTTTTATCAGAATCCGAGACGTGGGCCCGGGGGTCGGGTTTGGTCAATTTCGGGTTTTTGGGTTTAATTTGATTATTTTCGCTTGGGCTTTGTTCCTCTAGCGCGTATTAATGGTATGAATCTGGTTTTGGTTAGACTCGGAGCATTTGGAGGCCGATTCGAGAGGCAAAGGCATCGCGGGCTAGAGTTTGGACCGGATAGAGTTAAGTAATGTAAATACTGTCCTGAGGATATGAAACCCCGGATTTCACATCGTTGTGCTATTTTGAGGTGACGCACACGCTATATGACGAGCGTGGGGTTGTGCACCGTTGGGGATTGTGACTTGATCCATCCCGTACGACTATTAAGTTGCGTATTTTACTTGAAAACTATTTGATATTGTTATATTTTGGAAAATATTATTGTGTTTGGGGCTAAATGTCGTGTCTGGGCCTTGTGCCGATTGTTTGGACCCTTAGGGGCTTTTACTACTATTTTCCTCACTGTTTTGGTTTAATGTTTACACTCAGTCATGTTATCTTCTTACTGTTTTTCATAACTCGATTTTATTCACTCCTTTTGATTTTATAAATGATTTGAGCTGAGTACTTGTTTTACTGTCAGCCCTAGGGGCTTGAGTGAGATCTAACTGAGTGAGGCCGAGGGCCTGTTTGTGAGGATATCATGGGATCGGGCTGCGCGCCGCAGCATGTGCTACTGATTTGTGATATATGAGAGGTCGAGGGCCTAATTTATTATGCCACGAGGTGGCTTGTGATTGATATGAGGCGAGAGCCTGTTTGATTATGCAGCGAGATGACTTGTTATTGTGCTTGGGCCGTAAGGGGCCCCTCCCGGAGTCTGTACACCCCCAGTGAGCGCGGGTACCCAGTGTGAGTGATGTGATATAGCCCGAGGGGCTGTTGGTTTTCATATTTTTGCCCGAGGGGCGGTTCTTGATTTACGTTATGCCCGAGGGGCTGACTACGAGTGATTGTGAGGTAGCCCGAGGGGCTGGTTCTATTAATATTGTGCTCGAGGGGCGCTTTATGGTACATGTTTTGCCCGAGGGGCT